AGAATAAGATAGATAGATAGATAGATAGATAGATAGATAGATAGATAGATAGATAGATAAGGACAGGCATAGATAGATAGATAGATAGATAGATAGATAGATAGATAGATAGATAATGATCGGTTACTCTAGTTTTCCGAGCCCACCCGTTTGTTTGGGCAAAAAGTAAATCCCTGTCACAGACAGCTTCCCAGACACGTTTGTGTTTGTTCAATACCCACAAAGCCCACTCCTGCAACTGTGCTGAGCGTACCTTAGTTACAGTTTCTGGGAGAGAGTTCATAATATGTCTTCATCAGCAGTTTGAACAACGCAAGTGTGTTCAAAGCCTCTGTCACGATGACTTTTGATTTGATGTTAGTACCTCTATCCAAATAGATGGATAGATTGATTTATGTTTTACGGCTTATCAACTTTTTTAAGGTTATTTAAAGCCAGAGAATATTTTTAGATTGTAAGAATCTTTTGGAGATAATAATGAGTAATTGATACAAGTAATAATTAACTTATAGTTGGGGGTTGGAAGAGATTGATTCATACCTTTCTCAAGGGTATTCGCGCGTAAGGGCACATAAAGAACTCGACTGGAATTGGAACTCGGCTCTTCCATTTGCAATTCCGAGCCGTTATCCATTACTTCCCTGTATCAAAAGGATTTGGCATTAAATAACCCACAGGGTTGATATGCCTGAAAACCCACCTAACTAATTAACTAACTAAACAGCCAACCATTATATCTCAAGTACATCAAAGCTTACATTATCTGGTATTCCGAAGCGACCATTGATATATGTATTGACCATGCACGACGTTGCTTAACTTAACATACATATTATGTAATGAGAAGGCAGGTTTTATGCATGGTTCTCGTTCTGTCGTTCAAATTTAATCTTATTATTATTCAAATATTTGGCGCTACATAGTCTTTCTGCTGCCCTTTTTGGATCCCGTTAATCCGATTAGTCAGACTGAGCTAAAATTAGTAAATTTCAATCTTTAAGCATGAAATTTCTCTTTTCTTCGCATTCTTCCGCCTTTTTTTCTTTGCAATCATCGTCGTCGGCATTATAATGGTCTACACTATTTCTCTTATTCTCTCGCCCTCTTTTTCTCTCTCTCACTCTATCTCTCTTTCTCTCTTTATCTCTCTCCAGTGTGTGCGTGTGTGTGTGTGTGTGTGTGTTTCCTCAGTTTCTTATAATCACTAATTTCCCTATTCCTTTCTCTCGTTATGTAGCCGCGAATTGTTCTTCTACTTCTTTACTTTTCATTCCCCTCTCTTTCTCACTCTCTCTCTCTTTCTCTATCACTACCTCTTTCTTTCTTTCTTTCTTTCTTTCTTTCTCTTTCTTTCGTTTTCACTCTCCGTCTTTTTCTTTCTTTCTCTCTCTCTCTCTCTCTCTCTCTCTCTCTCTCTCTCTCTGTTTTCTGCCTACTCTCCTCTCTTTAATAACACTATCGTTGCCGCTTAGTCCACAGCGTGGTTATAATCGGGCATGTTATCAAATGTGCCGCTCCATTTTTACCAAGTCCATAATTAATAGGGATATGAATAAAGAAAACAAAAACACAATAAGGACAGAAAGAAAGAAAGAAAACCAGAAAGAAAGTCGTGGGGGAAAAATGTTTGTGTTTTAAATAGTATTGCTTCGTCTTAATCTTTTCTTATAAACACTTTCCCATTTGCCTTCATCTTTTCGTTCTTTTTCTATTCCTCACTGTCATTCGGACGTTCACTTGCTCTCCAGAGAGAGAAGAAAAATTGAATTACACTAAAGAAGAGTTTAACACAGAGTAAAGCAGAATGAGACAAAAGGAAAATATGTTGATTCGAACGACCCCATAAGATTCGCTGACTTCCTTAAGATCTAAAAAAAAAAAAAAAAAAAAAATTCAGACGACTTATAAGTGACTTACCGTCTTGCTTGGTCCTTCTCCTTTGAACACCATGATTACTCGTTCATAAAATTTGTTTGTCCAAAGAAAATTTGCATAACGAAAAAAAATCAGTTGAAAATCAACCACAAGACACAACGTATTTTATTCCATTGGATTTTTATAAATGAAGCCTGGAAAATGCTAACTATTTTAGACATTACGCGAGTGTGGATTAAAACAGTTTCTACTTGATTCGCTTCACCAAAGAATGATGCCTATGACCCAAGGTTCGTTAAAATATATAATTCTTAACTGCTTCAAGGAGTTTTACTTTTCCAATATTCTAAATTATGACCTAGGAAGATATATGTTTGTTTTTGATAAGTCCTATTTATGTTTTATCTCGTTTAAATGTGTTTGAGGAAAAGGTAATCAATTTTTTTAAATGGCAGCCATTTTGTTTGAATCATTTTATTCAATCCTTTCACTCCAAGCAAGGCAATAAAGCCACAAAGACGGGGGGTTACTGAATGCGAAAGAATATGCGAAAAAGCATTATCAAGGAGAAAGAAAAATAAATGAACAGGAATTATGAAGAGAAAAGATAACGATAGACATAGCATTTACATATTTCAAAGTTAACTTAAAATCAAGAGGTCGTAAGAGAATTCCACAGAGAGAATTGCAAGAAGCTGTTAACATAAAACTTAATCAGTTTTTATATTGATATTGCTGTTAATATTTTAGATCAATAGAAATTATATGGATATTATTATTGGTAATACATATATATATATATATATATATATATATATATATATATATATATATATATATATATAATACTTATAATTAGCTAGTTATATATTATCTATTGACATTACATTGCTATTATATTAATATTGCTATTGATATTTTTATATTGATATTAGTCCTTGGATTTATATTATATTGATATTGTTATCGATATCTTATATTGATATAAGATATTCCTATTTTATTGCTATTAATATTTTATAGTATGGTATTGTTTTTTCTTATTTTTATATTGATATTAGTTATTGATACCGATATTTCATATTGATATTATATTGATAATTATATTGGTATTTTTATGTTGATTATATATTGCTGTTGATATGTTAGTATTAATATTAATGAGTATTAAATTTAGTAGGTTAGATTCATAATTAAATGTATTATTGTTAAAATGTATGTGTGTATGACTGTAATTATACGCCTGTGCAATTCTATATAGGCATACATATGCATACACATGTATACACAGACGACCGTACGTGGGTACATATACACTTAAGTCTGTGCTTTGTTAGTAATAAACTAGTGCATAAATGGTGAAATTATTCATTTTTAAATATCATTTTTTTCATATAAATATGTTGATATTATATATTGCTATATATATAAAAAAAATACAATACAAACTTTCAATAAATAAATAAAAGAAACAATAAATACGTATATATGGTACACACTCGCGCACACCTAAGCAGGCACCGCACGCACGCTGCTCCCATGCACGTATACATAATTGTTAAGTAGTGTATATAATTAAAATAAGTGTATACTTATATCATATGTTATCGTTTATTGTTTATTTAATGTTTCATTTTTATTTTTTATTAATGATTAGTAGTTTATTTGTTTTACCTTGGTGTTATACATTGTGATATTAATTATGGTGGATTAGGTTTGTTCATTTTTTTTTGGTATATGATGGTGCGTTTGTGTGTGTGCATAGTTGTGTACTTTAATATTAGTTCGTTTATTTGTTTATTAATAAATTAATTTTATATTATATTTGTTTCTTTTATTTTTTTATTTAAAGTTTCTATTATATTTTTTTTAAGTTTATATTTATTTTATTTATAATAATTTGTTTATTTTTAGTTAGTGCTTAGATGAAAAAGTTAATATTTATTTATATGCCTACCTTTACCCATTATTTTAGTTTTCTTGTTTAAGAGTTTATTTTGGTTATTAGTACTAATTATTGGTCATTTTTCCTTTAAGCATAATTTACAATTTTTGTTGTTAATACTGTATGGGGCTGCTCTTTTTATAAATTCCCATAATAATTTTGGTTGGGATATTGTTTTCTTTTTGGCTCCATATGTATTTTGAGAGAGTTGTATTGTTTATGTATTTTTTCTTTCGAATGACATTTTGTGGTTATATTTATATTTAAAAAATTTTCTGTTCCTCCTATGTAACTTTTTTCGTCTGTGTTAATGTTATTATTTAAGATGGCTTTCTATATAATGTTATTGGTTAAACATTTATTGCTAAGTATTTCTTTGTTTCTACAGTTACAGTTAATGTTATTATTTAAGATGGCTTTCTATATAATGTTATTGGTTAAACATTTATTGCTAAGTATTTCTTTGTTTCTACAGTTACAGTTAATGTTATTATTTAAGATGGCTTTCTATATAATGTTATTGGTTAAACATTTATTGCTAAGTATTTCTTTGTTTCTACAGTTACAGTTAATGTTATTATTTAAGATGGCTTTCTATATAATGTTTGGTTAAACATTTATTCTAAGTATTTCTTTGTTTCTACAGTTACAGTTAATGTTATTATTTAAGATGGCTTTCTATATAATGTTATTGGTTAAACATTTATTGCTAAGTATTTCTTTGTTTCTACAGTTACAGTTAATGTTATTATTTAAGATGGCTTTTATATAATGTTATTGGTTAAACATTTATTGCTAATGTTATTTCTTTGTTTCTACAGTTACAGTTAATGTTATTATTTAAGATGGCTTTATAATAATGTTATTGGTTAAACATTTATTGCTAAATTTTTTGTTTCTACAGTTACAGTTTGTTATTATTTAAGTATATAATTATTTTAAACATTTTTCTAGTATTTCTTTGTTTACAGTTACAGTTAATGTTATTATTTAAGATGGCTTTTCTATATAATGTTATTGGTTAAACATTTAAATTTCTTTGTTTCGTAGTTAATGTTATTATTTAAGATGGCTTTCTATATAATGTTATTGGTTAAACATTTATTGCTAAGTATTTCTTTGTTTCTACAGTTACAGTTAATGTTATTATTTAAGATATATATAATGTTATTGGTTAAACATTTATTGCTAAGTATTTCTTTGTTTCTACAGTTATGTTAATGTTATTATTTTCTTTTATATATGTTATTGGTTATTTATTGTTATTTCTATGTGTTATTATTTATTTTGTTATTCTATATGTATGTTATTTTTATTGCTATTGTAATTATAATTATTGCTTTTGTTATTATCTATGCAGCCGAAATGAATTTTTTCTTGTAATTTTGTTGATAATTTACTGTTTTTAGGGAAATGATTGTCAATTATTCTGAATTATTTTTCCTATTTCTGCTTTTATTTTA